TGTTTACTGCTGGCTCCAGCGGAGCGGCAGGGTTTTGCAAGGCTACAGCACTACTCAGTCGGGCTGGAGAGGTCCCTGCCCAAGCCAGGCAAGGGCGCGAGAAAAACTCTGCTGACAAAAGCCGCGTGGGCGAATGACCCCGGCATCCAGCGGGGCTCAGCATGGCAAAACTCCAGAAAAGGGCTGAGGACTCGCACGAACCAGCAGCGTCCTCTGCTCCGTGGGGCAGAGGGAGGAGGGGGGGGTGGTGCTGGGGCACAGACAACCCCGCAATGCTGCCCCCGGGCAGGCCGAGGGCCCAGTTGTCCTCCCGGGCCTGCCCAGCCCCCTTTTAGGAGAGCCAGATGCTGCTGCGCCCTTCATAGCACACGTGGTTCCAGGTCTGCTAGAGCAGAAAGCAAGAGCAGGCTGAGGATGGAAGGGATCTCAGGAGGCCTCGGGCTCTGCTCAAGCGCTGGGCTCAGGACTGCTGCTGCAGCATCAGGGTGCCCTGCTTGGGTCGCAGACCCCTCTGAGGGCCCCGTGCCCCCTCTCTGGCAGCCGGGCACCTCCAGGAGCAGTCGATGATGCATGGGGTTTGTGCCGGGCCAGGCCGGTGCGCTGTGGTCCGTTTGCTGCTGGCCTGCACGTGGCTGGCACGGAGGCCGGAGGTGGAGGAAGAGGGCAACCCAGCGAGCTCGCGCTGCCTGTGCAGGCAGCTCCCACGGGAAGGGCACCGGGGCCGCTGAGGATGGCAGGAGGCAGACAGGCCTCTTAGTGCGACAGCAGCTCCGCGCTAGCAAAGCTGATCAGGAAAGGCAGGCTAGGACCCCGGTCGCTGGCGTGTGAGAGACAGGGGACGGGGAAAGGGACGTGGCAGCCCACGCTTGCCAGCCGCTGACCACCACGCTCTTGGCTTCTGCTCCCCGCTTGCTCCGGCCAGGACCGCGTCCGGTGGAAGGCTTTGAGATCACGAACGTGACGGCCAGCACCATCACGGTGCAATGGGCTCTCCACCGGCTCAAGCACTCCACTGTTAGTAGGGTGCGTGTCTCCATCCGCCAGCCTGGTGACCTGGAAGACCGCACCGTGGAGCTGAACAGCAGCGTGGCCAAGTACACCTTCCTGTGAGTGCTGCGGGCCAGCCGGCGGGCAGGCGCACGCTGGGGGGATGAGTGATGACAGGCTAAGAAACTCATCTTGTCCCATCACCTTCCTCCTCTCCAGGGACCTGCAGCCAGGAGAGAGGTACATAGTCCACGTCACGACGCTGAGCGGCCTGGGGACCGAAGATCACCCCTCGGAGAGCCTGGCCACAGCCCCCTTCCACGTGTGGACAAGTGAGCGGGGCCACATTTGCCCTTAGCCTTGGGGGTGGGCGCTGGGTTCCCCCTCGTCCCGCCAAGCGGCTGCACATCAGGGGCTCG